TAGTGTAGTGTAGTGTAGTGTGTAGTGTAGTTGTAGTTGTAGTGTAGTGTGTAGTTGTAGTGTGTAGTGTAGTTGTAGTGTGTAGTGTAGTGTAGTGTACTGTAGTGTAGTGTACTGTAGTGTGTAGTGTAGTGTAGTGTTAGTGTAGTGTAGTGTAGTGTGTAGTGTAGTTGTAGTTGTAGTGTAGTGTGTAGTTGTGTAGTGTAGTGTAGTGTAGTGTAGTGTAGTGTAGTGTAGTGTAGTGTAGTGTAGTGTAGTGTAGTGTAGTGTAGTGTAGTGTAGTGTAGTGTAGTGTAGTGTAGTGTAGTGTAGTGTAGTGTAGTGTAGTGTAGTGTGTATTTGTGTAGTGTGTAGTTGTGGTGTGTAGTGTAGTGTAGTGTAGTGTGTAGTGTAGTGTAGTGTAGTTGTAGTTGTAGTTGTAGTGTGGTGTGTAGTGTGGTGTGTAGTGTGGTGTGTAGTGTAGTTGTAGCGTAGTTGTAGTGTATTATAATAGTATAGTTATAGTATAGTTATAGTATAGTTATAGTATAGTATAGTATAGTATAGTATAGTATAGTTATAGTATAGTTATAGTATAGTATAGTATAGTATAGTATAGTATAGTTATAGTTATAGTTATAATATAGGTATAGTTATAGGTATAGGTATAGTATAGGTATAGTTATAGTATAGTTATAGTATAGGTATAGTATAGTATAGTATAATATAGTATAGTATAGTTATAGTTATAGGTATAGTTATAGTATAGTTATAGTTATAGTTATAGGTATTGCCGATTTTTTTATAGGTGGCTTCTTTTTTCCCTAAACCCTAATCCAACCCAAATCTATCCACTTTCTCTAGATCTCCAATCAATTTGGCTAAAACTCACACCCTCTCCAAAATCAACCATTACAACCTTCTCATCTTTCACTCTTTTATCCCTTTACCCGAAAGTTTAGAAGGGAGGCATAGTTAGGCACACTATTGAGAAGGGTTTAATGAAAGATGATATAGTTTTAGGATTGGTAAGACTCCTATAATTCTACTTTGTAACTATTTTGAACTCCCTATCATGCTAGTCCTATCATGAAGTTACAAGATACATTGTACTCCCTAAAAAAAAAAGAGAAATTTACGTACATACCTACACATTTTTTATGTATTTACATATCCTCACAACTAATTTTTTGTATTTACATAAAGCTTTAATTTAAAACGTGTATTTTAGTTAAAAAAATTATTATTCGCGTACTATCCATGTAAACATTAAAGTCTAGGTGTTTGATATGTAAGAATTGTGTGGTATCTTTGTAAATGACCCAAAAAAAATCAAATTTGAGTGCCATCCATTGTTCCTTTTAAGCATCAGTAAATTATTTTTTCTACCGTACCCTAAAGTTCCATTTTTACACACCTACCGCTTTATATTAATGGATAAAGTATTGAATTTGATTTTTATGAAAATTTAGGTGAGATTGGTAAATTCTCAAAAAAATTGGGTGCTATGTATGTAAATGCCCCTAATTGTTTTCAATATTTTCAATTATTATAACCATTTAAACTATTTTAAAAATGTCATTATTTTAATAATATTAATTAAAATTTTAATTCCATCATTCATAAACATATTTTTTTAATATTAAATTTAAATTTACTCGGTTTTAAGGAAAAAAGAAGCCACCTATTAAAAAATCGGCAACGTTATTTTTTTAATTTTTAATTTTAAATATTATTATAAAAGAAAGCAGGTACAAGATATTTATCATATATTAAGAATTTATTAGTAGATTAGAGGGAGGTTATAAGATATTACCGTGGATATAACTCTTTTGTACCCTAGGTCTAATTCCAATATCGTACACAGCGCTGCGTATGTCTATCGCACGTAAATTTTTTCCCAGGAAGACGTATACATCTCACATAATTATTTTCATATTTATATAAATAAAACTTAAATGATTAATATTACATAAAAATACCATCATAATTTCATGCATTACGCAAAAATGTTACAAATATAAATATCATATTTTGAGTGGTAGATATCTAAATGCATAGAAATAGCATGGTATGTACGTAAATTTCCCTATTTTTAATCACCAGTTACCCAATTTATCAAGAAGAACCTTGGTTTATTATGCTTTCCATGAGCATCCCCTTCACCGCCTGAAAAGCAAGCTCCAGCTTCTCCATCTGCTCCACACAAAGTTATACCCCAATAATATATAAATAAACAGTAAAAATTTACATCCATACCACACAATTCTTATGTAATTGCATATCTAACACCTATACTTGATAGAATGATGTGCATGTAAATATTTAAATTTAACGGTCAGATATTTAAATACATAAGAATTGTGTGGGATACCATGTAAATGCCCCAATTGAATAAATATACCTCTTTTCTTGCGAATTTATTGTGCTGATACAGCCCAATGTACAGATCCAAGCTGTCTTTAATGGAGCTATCCTTCTGCAAAAGTTTCAACACCACTCAAAACACATAGGAAGATTTACATGCATACCACTCATTTTTTATGTATTTGCATATCTAACATCTAAACTTTAATTTTTTATCACATCTTAACTAATGCATGAAAATATGTATTTCATTTTTTAGAAGTTTAAAAAAAAAATAGTGATATTTTTTATGTGATATTATGATGGCACAAAAACACTTGAAATATTGTTAAATTCTAATGATTTATTTCACATTTTATTTCAGATTTTATGATGAAAGAGAGGAAAATTCTTAAATTCATTAAATCATTATAAAAGGTGGGTTTAAAAAGATGGGAGATTTACATATATAACACAAGATTGTTATCAATTTACATATCTACCATATGTGTTTCACTATAAAAAAATTAATATTAGTGATATATTGATGTGTGATTTAAAGATATATGTGCTATATAAGTCAATAAAATTTTTCCATATTACATATGCAAATACTACATAAGAATTCAGTGGGGTATACATGTGAATCTCCCAAAAATAATTTTAAAAAACACTAAGATTTAAAATCTCCAAAATCAACTTAAATTAGTTCCAAAATTCATAGACTGTTACCACTTGGAGAAGTTTTTGAAATCCCTTCGTGTCGATTGACGTCGACTCGATCTTCATTTGATCCAAAATCCTAAAAGGCAAATCACATTAGACTAGTTGGAAAATTAAATGTAGGTTATTGTGTGCATAAGATATTAAGGGAGATATTCAAGCAAAATACCACCATTTTAATTTTTTCATGCATAGATAAGACGGTATATATGCAAAAAATGAAACGTTGGTAGAGCGGCATCTTTGAAGGTCGTATGTCCCCTCAGGTCACGGGTTTGAATCCCCCTTTGGCCAGTCTACCGATAATGAGGCCGGTCCTCGAGTAATTAGGCACATGAGATAATAGCCTCCGACCATTCTTTTTTTTTTTAATTTTTCAAAATGTAAAAAATGAAATGTTAGATATGTAAATAGAAGGGAAATGAGTGGGATGTATGTAAATTCTCCTATATATAAACTAATGTATGGCTTTGCAAATACTTGAAAACATTCAATGTGCTTTGCAAAAGAATATATGCACATATCCTATACTATTATGTAGATAGTTATGAATGTGAAGTCGAGAGAGATCCCGGCCGTTCGATCCATTTTGAACGCCAACAATTAAATCAATTTTTTTTATTTTCAAAATAATTTTGAATTTTAACAAAATATATTTCAGGCAGTAAAATGTAGTTAGTACCTGCCAATGGTGTGGGCAAGGAACTGGGTTTTAGCAGTCATCCTATCATGCTCTTCACAAGACATCTCCAACATTCTGCAGCCCTAAAAACCAAAAGAAAAAAAAAAAGCTTCAAACTTTCACCATATCAAAATTAAAAAAAGAAAAAAAAAAAAAAAAGCTTCAAACTTTCACCATATGAAAATTAAAAAATGAGGGATAATTATATACAGGTCCCCCCAAAACATTGATATTTACAAATTAACCAACGAGGTTATTTTTTCGGAACTACCAAACTAATGTATTTACCGGTGCCACAATCAAACTATTGAGAATCCTATTTAAGGTATGCTTGCCAAACACCCCCAAAAAATACCACATTTAGCAAAATCTAAAAATTGAAGTTTTGGAGTTAGATATGTAAATAAGTAAAAATTGAGGGGCATGCATGCATGTAAAAACTTGGCATTTTTCTAGTGTGACACCCAGCATAACCAACGATTTAAAGTTTGATAGCATACTATTAATGAGATTTAGTGACGATTTAACTTAAATCCAACCAAACACTAAAAAATTAAATCCAACGCCCCCGCTTAAATCGAATTTTCTCGTATTCTTACCATTTTCTAGTGTTCCATCATTTTTACGAAGTAAACCAGGATTTACTAAATCCAATTCAATAAATCCAAATTTATCGGATTTGATCAATCTTTTATGTAAAATCTATGTTGCAGCATAAGAACAATAAGGATGCCAAAAATCCTCAGATTTCAATCCTCTTGTGATTTAACAGAACCCTAATCTTAGAAGCCAAACGGAAGAACTTTACCTCTTGATGGAAAACATCCAAGAACTTGTCACAGAGACCATGGTTTCGAACTCTGACTCGATCATAAACCAAAGGCAAGCCTTCCCATCCATCTCGCCCGCTCTCGGGTCCGAACATCGGATGCGTGCAGAGCAGATCAACCTCCTCCGGCAAAACCTGCAGAAGCAGATCTCTCGGATGCTCCTTCACCGACAACACGTCGACGAAGAGTCTCGCCTTCTGTAAGTCGCGCATTGGAATCGTAGACAGTACGTCGCTGGTGGAAACAATGGAAGTGCAGAGCAGAATCACATCGCTTCCAGATGCAAAGAATTTACTGAATTCCCTGTGAAGTTGAAATAGGGTGTTACTTAGGATTACGATTCATGCGGAAGAAGAGGAAGAAGAAGAAAGAGATAGTAATAGAGAGATAGAGAGAGGGAGATGTTTATGTACTTGAAGAATGGGATGCCGAGCTGGAAGCAGAGGAGGGAATGATCGGAGCGCGATGTGGCGACGAGGGTGTGCCCTTGCTTGATCATTGTGCGGGCAAGGAACTGGCCGAAAGGTCCGAAACCTATTATTCCGATCTTTAGGGTTTCTGAAGCCGCCATTGTTTGAGTAGTAAAGAGGAAGAAAGAATGGTAGAAGCTCTTCAACACTTATGCTATTGAGGTCTTCATAATGCAGAACAATAAGCATTATCATTTAAAAAGATTTTACATATATAGCCCTCAATTCCTATGTATTTACATATCTACCACCTTAACTTCAATTTTTACATATACATATATATACATAGATATATCAACCTTAGCCGTTGATTTACATAGAGATGCGTGCAATATAAGCTTTAAATTACATAAATACCACATAATTCTTATGTATTTATGCATCTGACACCAAACTTTAATATTGATATAAATAACACCCAAATATTTGAATAACATTAAAAAAAAATATCACAAATATTACATTGAATTACACATTTCCATTCTTGCATTTTGATACAATTGAGAAACTAAAATATTAAACAATTAAATATCTAAATTTAAGGTTTGATATGTAAATACATTAGAGTTATGTGGCAAAAAATGACAAGTGAACAATTCTGAAACAAACTTTTAAATAAATAATGAAAAAATATAATGAATATAGATAGGAAAACTGGAAAATATTTGTGTACGTAAGACATACATAGAGCTGCGTACGTCCGGAGGTTACGAAGAGGGTATAGGGAGGTTATAACCTCCCTATAACCTACCTGTAACCTACAAATAAGTTCCGCGCATCTGTAGTTCCATAGGTACAAATAAGTTGCAAGGAGGTTACAGGGGGGGTATAATCCGGATATAACCCCCCTTGTATCCTCTGAATAACTTCCGACGCACATTGCGTACGTCTTACGCACGCAAATATTTTTCGGAAAACTGTGATGCCCTTGAAATTATTAAAAAGAAAGAGCCTTACATGCATATCCCCAGTTCCTATATATTTACATATGTAAAATCAAAATTTTACTTTTCACATCTATAACCACCCAAATCTTTCATATTTGAAATTTTAAAAAGCGAAATGCACATTTTCATGCGTAGGCAAGCTGGCGTATATGTAAAAATTGAATTTTAGATGTCATATATGCAAATACATAGAAATTGAGTGGTTGTAAATCTCCCAAAAGAAATTTGTACTCCTTTCAAGCCAGCCTCTAACATTTAATTTATTCCCTAACAAATGTTCATGGTAATACTTTTCCTCCCATCAGCTTATCTGTAACTTTCATATTTACATTTATAACACTCAAAATTTTAA